TTTGTCTCTCCAGTTAATAAACACAAAATCTCTTGATGCTGTGTGTATTAAAACAAGCCCATTGTAAATAGAGGATCCAGTTAATGTAAGACAGAGCGTTCTTGGAGGGCAAAAGATTTAATATGTAAGATAAACCTAATTGCAGTTATTTTAGATGGAACTGGGTTGTTCTGGAAAAATATTTCTAATTTATCTGTGTATGTCTAATTTGAAATTAAATTAGGAATTGCTTGTTCTTTAAGAGCATACATAAAATGTGATGTCTTTAATCAAATACACTGACCCCAAATGCAAGGTGTCCAAGGAAAATAATTTCTGAGATAAATCAATTCAGCTTTGAATGGCAGCTACTTAAACACCCTTGCTGTTCTGCAATGTTGGCTCATGTATAGTCTAGAGAGTTCTAGAGCAAAATTTGACTGGGATGGTCACAGGCAACTGTTTTGGGCAGTCCTTCATGTGGCTGGGGCTGCTGTTAACATAGTACATAAGCATGTTTAAAAATAAAAATATTATCCAACCACAAAAATTTGCAATGTGTCAGACTTTGCAGGTGCATGTGAAGATGAAGGAATTGGAACATTAGTGAAGATTTTTTTATCATGGGTGCTAACATGCTGTAGTAATGCCAAGTACATGCTGTGATCTTCATGGAACAGCTGCAATTTCAACAGCTGTAGTGATGTTCTGGTTTATGTCACTTGGGCATGCTTTGTTTTAACTTAGCCTAAAGTTTTGTGCCACAAGGCAAGAAAATTTAGGGAAGAATGTGGGTAAGTAAATCTTAACTACTACTGTTGATGTTATGAATTTACTGCACTTGGAACATCCCAGCTGTGACTAGTGAGATACTTTCATTCATTTCTAATAAATGTGAAACTGTCTGTGGATGTGGAAATATGTCCATCTGGTTTTCTGGAATTATACTGTCACCAAACAGGCACCAAATCTCAAAATACATAAGCCTGTGATTAGCAAAGTCTTGTGGTTGCCTGTAATTTTCATCTCCTTCTGTGATTGCCTCTTACAATAATACTGAGCTTTGGGAGATTTTATCACACACCCAGGGGGCTCTAGCTCAAAGCATGCTGAGGTAATTCATGTGTATGATGCCAAGTCATAGCATTACATACAAACCACTTTTCAGTTACTCAGTAGAAAAAATAACATTTCCACTATCCAATGGGGGATAATAATTTTACTCTCTTGCCAGTTGCACATGTTATTCATTGACATTATTTTGTCCAGTGGGACATGGAAACAATTTGATTCTAGTCCTTTCTAAAATATTAGTTTTTTAAGAGTCACTGAAAGGTTTGCTCAAAACTCTTTATAGTTATTAGTCTAGCATTAAGAGGTTTGCCTTTAATTGTTAATTCAGAAATCCAGACTATTTTCTCTCACAGAACCCATTTCTTAAAGCCACTTTTTAAAAAGATGGGTAAATTGTGTAATATTATTTCTAAATTTCCCTGCAATGTCTGTATTTTCATGTAGTCATCTCAGTCACTGAGCATGTTCATTGATTTCATAATAAGGCAGGGAACCTGAGGTTAGATGATTTCTCAAAATACCTTTCAGTTGCATTGCAAGAATCCAAACCAGCTATTTTATTTCTGTTTAAAATTTTCTTGAAAAATTCCAGTGGATGAGGCTCAACACCACTCAATTCCATTTATTTCATGCTTCACTACTCTTACCAGTAGAGTGATTTCATAATATTTCAGTTCAGTTTCCCTTCCTGCAAACAAGATTATTGCTTTTCACCCCATCTCCAGAAGATGCAGAGAACAGTTTATTCCCTTCTCTGCTTCAGGCTTTTCTCCTTTGTAGAAAATGTTCTTTGTAGATTTTGCTTCTCTGGAATGTTTTCAGACTTTTCTCCTTGTCATGTTCTGGACCTTAGATTACTGTTGTCTTCTCATCAAGAATGACACTCAAAACAAAACACAGCTGAGTGTTTGCCTTGTTCTGAGGTTTACAGACTGTGCCCTGAAGTACGTGTCAGTATGTTTACAGTTTTTTAGTCAACACTGTTGACTTAAATCCAGCCTGTGGTCTGCAATGCTTTTTGGATCTGTTTTAATACCAGTCATCACTCATCTACTTCTGTGCATTTTGCTATTCCTGTTTGTCTTCATTATCTTGTTCATTTTCAATTACTCTGGATTGCTGCATTCACTCTGGATTCTGTTTGGATGCTGGTATTCTCACAGCCCTTTTCAGCTTCAAAGATCATTAGTGTATCAACCAGGCAGATGCTGCCTAAATCTGAATGAGTCAACTTGTTGGCTGTAGCTGTGGAACTGCACACAGGAACTGAGCATATTGCTCATGTGGGTCTGCATGCGTTTTCATGCTTGACTTCTGCATCTCATTTTGCTGTTCATTAAGTACATAGTGGGTCTGCATGCATTTTCATGCTTGACTTCTGCATCTCATTTTGCTGTTCATTAGGTATATAGTCCTTGTTCCTTCAAATGCATGTTTCCACTTCTCATAGTTCCATTTCATTCACTTGCCAAAAGGTTAAACAGCACAACCCAAATTCTGATCAGATTGCCCACTTGTATATTGCATGAGATGTGGTGGGTTTAGAAGAGTTATGCCAAACCAAGTTTGAACCCAGATTTTTTATTCAATGAATATGTAGTGTTTCAAATATGTCACTTTTTTTACTTCAGCTTGAGATGGAGATATCTGAAACTTGAAATTACAAGACTGATGGATGCAGAAATATTTGATTTTCTTTTTATGGATAAATTCTGTACTCGTTAGGCCTAAAACAAGAGCTGTGGTTAGGTGTCAAAAGTGAGCCAAAGGCTTAGTGACCAAATAGTTGTGTTGAGTTTTTAGTTCAGGTTTCAATATGCACAAGCAAAATACTCTCATGCATACAATTCCACATGGAAGTGGTATAACAAATAGGTGATGATGTGTTGCATTACCTCATCCTTTTGGTTTTTTTTTAAACAGATTTTATTTTTAGGTGGTTTGAGTCAGATTTTAGTTTCACTTCCATGTAGAAAGCTTCAGCTATATAAGGTCAAGTGGTCTGTTCATTCAGGATGGATCACTTCCTTCTAAGAGTTGACAGGTTAAACAAGCTTCCTAGTGCTCTGGACACATCAGATAGTGCTTTTTCCTCTTTATTTGATGTGTGTCTTCTGTGGAAGGATTGAAGATAAGTAGGAACTTTGAGATCATGTTAGTCATGCTTCTAAGGCTTCCGAGAGCATGGTCTCTTCACTTGGGCTGATGCCCACCTCTGAGCTGTTTAGTCTAAATACTTGTTGGACTCCTGTTCCTCTCTAGTCCCAGCAAATACCTGAAGGCAATGAACCATATTAACTAAGAGTAGCTTTATGATACCAAATTTTGTCTTGCATTATGTTTGTACCCAGCAGATACCTAATATCTCCCAAAACCATTCTCTCTCTGGTCATGCTCTTGTCATTCTGCAGGTTTGCTAGCCTGTGTGTACAGTTCTCTGGGCCGTTTCCATTTTCACCAGCACCTCAACCTGGATCAACATCTGCTTACTCTCTGTAACATGGACAGAGAATATTTCCTGTGGATTCTATTGCAGGAAGAGGAAGCTTTGCAAAACTGTGCTCTCATCTTTGCCCTTTGTTTCTCTAGGCTCTTATAACTAGCCAGGCAGCTGATACTGTAGCTGTGGGGCCAAAATTATGCAAAGAACATTGAAATAGGCTATATAAAATGGTAACAGCCAGAGGAGAGGTGTATGTATAATGTATGTTTGTCTAAGAATTTAATTTTTTGTTTAATTAACTTATCCAATATAAATTAAAGAACAAAAAAGATGCACACCCAATCAGCATCTAAATGCTCTCTGCCTTCAAGATCCTATCTTTATTTATACTTTGCCTAGACTTCAGGCTGAAGGAGTCCTAAATGCATGTTTTATTTTTCACTCCTTTTTCATTCTTACTTATATTTACAGTGATAGAAATAAGTTGAAACTTAAGTTATATCTCTGCATAGAAAAAGCCTAGAGGAATTGATGATAAATGTGCTGTTCATAGCAATGAAAATCCATTAAGGTATTTTTATTCTCTACCTTTACAATCAAATACTGAAGTAAGAAATTTGTAGCATGCCAAAAGACATGCTTAAAACCTAGTATATTTTTTGTCTAAAACTGTATTGTCATTGCTTACTTTGGGCATGGAGCATTCTTTGACAGGACTGGTCAAGTCATCCTGGTAGTTACTTTCAAAAGAAGCGGTGAAGAGGTGCTTTTCTTCTCACAGTCCCCAGTCTCCCATCTCTCTTTCTAGCTCCAGAAAGAATGCAGCTGTAACCAACTCCCTGCACAAACTTGAATCAGGAGTCCACAAACTTACCCCAGATAACTCTACCACACACAGTGGTAAACTCTGCTCATAAATTTGCAGATCCCAACTACGAGTTGTATTGCCTAACAGTTTGCAATCAAGCACTGTCAGTAATCATTTCATGTTTCAGTAGTGCTTGGTGTCTCTGTCCACCACTGGGCTGTCAGGGCATTAGTCACAGTACTGTCACACAGCTGTCAACTCTCGCTCCTGACAGCTCAGAGCCAGGCAGATCTGTGGGAAAAGGGAAGTACTGTCCCACCCCTTTTATAGAAAGGGGACTGAAGTCTGAGGACACATGACTACAATAACAGCACTGCAAAGAGTGGAGATGTTACCTAGTTCAGTCTTCAGTCTCAAGGACCAGACTTCATCAAGGTTCTTCTTCCTATCATTCCATCACCAGTGTGCAAGGTTGATATACCCAGACCACATGAAGCGACAGCTGTAGTAGCCTTTTCACAAACACCCATGAGCTTTTTGGAAAAAGAGAATTTATCTTATGCATGTCAAATCCTTCACTAATCAGAAAGTTCAAATATTTATGTTTTACTAAGGAAGATTACAGTCAGATTAGAACTTAATAATGACAATTCTCTTTTGAGTCACCCTTCTATTTTCCAGAGAGGAGAAACAAACACATAAGAAGAAGTTTTTTTAATGATATTTAACATCCATAATACAAACAATAAGTTAAACACAGTAAAAATAATTTAAATAAAGATTGAGGTTCCAGCCCTCAGACAAATAATACAAATCTACAAAACAATAAGTTTAAAAATAAACCCAGAATAAGTCTTATAGAAAAAAAAAAAAACTTCCATATAATATCAGTTAAATGAATCGAAATAAATTTCTGACTTTTGATGCTGCAGCATTCAACTAATGCCAAGTCCTTAAATCTTCTCCAGGGTGCAGAGGTACATGTAGAGACATAATCAGACTTTCCAGGGAACACAGACACCTTCACATGTCACCTGGAAGTCCAGCAAGTTTCCCATTTGCCTTTTTGCAGCACAGTTCTTAAGTGAAATACATTAAGAGTTTGTAATGCTGACTCAGCTACTACTTTTTTGCCCCCAACTTTTTGATGCCAAGCCTGATCACATTCTCAGTACTGGTCTTAACAGGCTAGGTTTGTGGGACTTGAGACAGTATTATTCAGTACAATGAGGGGAGATTTTGGACTCGGGTCAGGTATAAAATGAGTACTTAAGTAAGTTGAAACTGTATCAATATTTCCAGAGAAAATGCTGGTTCATAAATGAAGTAGACAGCTAACTTGCTATGCATAGTATCATGCATGGGAATACTCATTTAAATGTTAAATATTTTAGCTTCCCACTGAGTGGTTTCCAGGTATTTCAGAGTAGTAAGATAATACATCAACCCTCTCTCTGCCTCATGCTTCAGGAACACTGATGTGACTGACCACACAAGCATTCAAAATGAAAGCCGCTCATGGCATTCAGGTCTTCACTGTCCTGGTGTCAGTATAGGCATAATTTTGTTCATTTCAGTCCAGCTGTCAAAAATAAGTCACTTTGGTTCAGGAAGAAAACGACTTTTGGCAGCTAGCCCATTCATGCTAGTATCAATCCAGTTAAGGTACTGAGTAACTCTGGTATAAACACCAGGTTTGTTTTCCTTTGCACAGCCATCTCCCCAGCTGACAATCCCATAAACCATCATCCTGCCATTGTGCTCACAGACCATGGGGCCACCGGAATCTCCCTGACAACAGAAAAAGAACGTGTTAGGTCATTTTCTGCAGATGGAGCCTATGACTGTTTAGAGATAAGCAAGCTAGTAAAGACCTTTGAGCTAAAGCTTTGATCTTTGAGAACATTGGTTTGGCATCTGCTGTGACTTGAACAGTCTGTAAAGCTGAGGAGGCCTCTAGTTCCCCCAGGATACCAGGAGAATTGTTACCTTGGAAAACAATCCTCCATCCCCATCCTAAGTTTACAAGCACTGATACTAGATTAGTGATTCAAGGTCAAGGCCAACGTGCCCTATTCGTTATCACAGAATTGTCTCCCTGTCCATAAAGTACTTTTACACTTGAGGATGCTTGTTCTTTTCAGAGGCTCCTATGGTCACTCTGCCCAGTAAGGTGCAGGGAAATAAATCCCATTTTGAGGAACCTGGAGGAACTCAGTGTGCCCTGTAATCTAGCCTTGCAAAGCTATAGTTAATATGCAAACTGAGATTAGAATAGTTGCTAGTATAGCTCTGATGGATATCTATCAGCTGTTGCTTGAATAGATTGAAAATAAGGCCTTAAGGAAAAACAGTAGCTAAGATACTGCACTTCTTGCACCTCCAAAAAAGGTCCTGGAGGGGGTATAACCTGGGTTCCAATTTCATTCCAGATTTTTGGCCACACAACAGGTCAACTCCACTTAATATAGTAATTTCTAGTTACATTAGAGACTCTCGTGACTAATAGAATTACAAGATGCTGCCAGCTGATCCATATAGTAGTGTACGTGCATTTGAAATTATTTAGAAAATAAATCAAACCAATTTTACCTTGCAGGCATCAATCTGCCATGCGGGATCCCCAGCACAGATCATGTTGTCAGTAACTCTAATATTGTCGTAGTATTCATATTTGCATTTTCTCTGTGATATTAAGTTCACAGTGGCTGACATCAGTCTTTGAGCATAGAAGATGTCATCTGCACAAAAAAAAGTATTCCATTATTTTCACCCTCCAAGAAACAAAAAGCAAGAAACCACCCATAACAATTTCTGCAATTAACACAGCCATTCAAATTTTCCATTGAGGTTCTTACTTCCACCTTATGCAGTATTAGTTTGCTTTTACTGTTCATAAATAAGTTTTAAAGAGAAAAACAAATGATCCAAATGCAAAAGATAAAGTTTTAGGCTTTAAAGGGAAAGTTTGATAATTTTTGATGGAAATTCTGGACAAATGCAATCCTTTGCTAATCCTCCCACACACCTTTAATTTTTTCTGCTGCTCATCACATCAGAAACCATAAAAATTGTGGTTTACAAAATTGCCTTACTTTGTATGGTTGATGAGAGAGAGAAGCATCAGATAGGAAATGCCAGACAACTAGAGAAGCTGATAGCAAAGGTCATCTTCATGAGATGCATATGGAATGCATACAATAGAGAGGAATCCTTTTTTAATACTTCACAGATAGTGGTGTAAAAATCATCACATTCCCACCATTGTGGAAGACTAACTTCGGGAAGAGAAGTAATTTACTCACAAAAATCTTGTTTTCCATAGCCAGCTATTTCACAGTGAGTATTCTCTTTTAAGTAAAGGTTCCTCTCTGGCAAGCAGACTGTTCTGACGTACTTGGATTCTACTGCACACTGTCCAGAAGTTGTCTTTATCCTTACCAAAGCTATGAACCAAATCAGAAAAGATACAGTTAACTTTGTAAAGCAAGTTTTTCCCCTCAAGTTCTGACAATAGCAGTGCTTGGTACAGTTAATTGGAATAGTTACAATTATATTTAGTTCTGGTTACACAAGGCTCCCCTCATTGCTTTTGGAATGAGTCATTACTTAATAATAACAAACATTAGTTTCCCAACACTAAAATTGACAAATGTTCCCACTTGAACTTGTTTCCTCAAAGGATAGGGGCTGATAGCTCAGGCAAAGATAATCCACAAGAGTATCTTTGGATGTCTCAAAGATCAACTTTCTCACTGGCTGTAGAGGTTGATACCCACTATCCTGAATGGCTTACACAGATATTCTTGGATTTTCTTTACTTTAGAAGCAGCAGGAATCTGGAAGAGGTGGTAGAATTCTAAGTGTCAAGTATAAGAGTGACAAGTCTGTTCTGTTCAAGTTGCAAAAACCCATCTCTGACATGGTTGCTTTAGGAATAGGCTAGTGAAACCCAGACTTCCATAAAAGTCTGAATTAATTCAGGATACCCTTCAGCTAATGAGGTGGCTGATATGGCATTCTCATGCTATATGATGAACCTACTGTGCATGCATTTTTTCATATTTTACTATACATACAGTCTGATCTTTAGACACATAATGAAATGGCAGAAATGCAATGCTGCCACCAGTGCTTATGGAAAAGCCATGTCTTCACAGGTCCAGAGACTGCCTGCCAGGTAATGCATCTGATATGTATCACAAACAAAACTTATACAAGTGCAAAAACTGTCAGCACAGGCGTAGTTTTCAGGCTGTTCCTGTTCCCCTTCTTCCCATCTCTGGTTCTGGTCTTTTAGATGTATGCCACAATTATGCAGCCTTCACCTACCCCAGTGTGTTAAAGGCTTTTATCAAGACAACACTTACCAATATCATTCTCATTGCCACCTGTGTCATCTGTGAAGTCAGGGTGAGAGATGATCTCGTCAACTATGAATACTTGTTCTTTATCATCAGTAACATTCAGCATGGACTTTCCAAGGAACACTTTGTAGATAGATTTGTTTATTGGTCTTCTTGACCTTAGTAAGAATAGAGAGATTGATGAAGACCACTGATATCTGAGTAAGGTCAACAACTGATATCTAGTCTCAGTTCTGTTTCATATTTATTTTAATGCTGATAAGAAAAAGTAAACTTTAGTCTGCTTTGAAAGTTGATCCAATATTCTGAAAAAAAGCATCTTAATTTTCCATTTGAAGGGATTAAGATGGATATTCAGACATTTTGAAACATGCCTAACTAGTTGCTACTAATGAAAGGCGTTGGCCTTAAGAACCCCGTACAGATGCCAAAAAGATCAGCTTTCCATAGAAAAGTCAACAACAAACACCTACAGATGTATTACACAGCTCATCATCAGTACAATTATTAGGTTTGGGGAAGGGCTGAGGTAAAAATGAAATCCTGGCACCAATATACACTGAATTGTTTAAAATGCATCCCCCACCCAACTGTCCACATCTTGCTTGTTCATTCTGCTAGATGCAGGCTTCCAGAGGCTTAATGTTTCTTTTAGTGCTCTTGTTCAATCAAAGGAACATTCTTACTGTGGTGCATGTTCCGAAGGGTTGCTCAGGGAGCATCACACCAAGAAATCAGTTGAAGAAAGCATCAAATAAGAGGTCCATGGAATTGTAAACTTACGGAGTGTGGAAACAGTGTGCTGCTGTGAGCACCCAGCACGGGTCAATGAGGCTGCCCCCACACAGGAAGTGATCCATGCCCCTCACAGTTTGGAAGATGCCAGCTATCCAAGGCTGAGACTCAACCTCTGCCTGCCTTCCACCAACAATCTTGAAGTTCTTGCTGATGCTCCTTTGACCACATGTAGGCCCTGTGAAAGGGAAGATTTTATTCAGATGTTCTTACAAAAACTCCAAACTTGTGCTATTAAAAATAAAATTTTAAAAAACCAAACAAAACCCCAATTGTGTTGAAACTAATATTACTTACCACACTTCTCTATGTTGCAAGGTGTTTCTTGAATGGCAGATCCCCTTTTGGTGTAACACCAAGGTCTGCTCCTTCCATTTGGGTTTCTAAAAGATAAAAAGAGTTCTTTTCATAAGGGCAGTTTTAAGAATTCATAGTATTTTAAAATTCAAGTGATCTGGAAAAAACAAAATATTCTCTTGCAAGATATGCCAGGGAAAATAATGCTTCAGAAATTCACATTCCAAATACTTTTAGTCAATAATTCAGCTCTGTAATGTTATTTTTAAAAACATGTTTCTCAGTGAAGCATCTCTGGGGCTATGATAATGGAAGTATCACAAGAACAGTGATGCTTTTCTTACCTGCAGTAGCTGTGTTTGCCCAGCCCAAGCTGCAAAGCATTCTCTGAGTAAGCATGGTAATGACCCCTCCTGATTAGTGAGGGTAAGTTCCATGGCAAACATTTGTCTTCTGTTGCCATCCCTCTGTAGTCCTCCCCATTTTCAGTATAGCATGTGCTGTCAGTGTCTGAGAAAATAAATACTTTATTAGCAGCATACTCTTGTTTATAATTGTTCTATGACAGACATGGACAAATCCTTCTAATGAGGAAAAAAGTTCTTGCATTACATGCAAAAACAGGTGCAAAATCCACACTGACTAGATACTGTTATTAAATTTGCTCTGTATGGATTTTGAGCATTGAGTATCTTACACTTTAAAGCATGCATATTAATTATTTAACAGTTGAAGTGAAGTTCACAACCTAATAAGTTTGTCTGCTTCTGACCACCCACAAACTAGTTCATTTTTTCCACCCCAAACTAAAAGTAAGTTTGAGGTAGGCAACCTTAGTGAGGAGGCAGGGACAAAAAAATTAGAGATCCTGATTTTGCATCAACATTTACTTGCTTCTCCTCATTTAGTCTGTTAGCATAAACTGCTAAAGGCTATCCAGTCATGTTTCTGAGTAATGTTTTCACTTGCCATTTCATATTAATTCTTTGACTATCTTTTAGACCTTTTCAGTCAATTTAGTTAGCATTAAGGAAGACAGATACTCTACCTAGTTCACAGTGAATCCCAGTGTATCCATCTGGACATATGCAACGAGTAATTCCACTAAAGAGGTAATAGCTAATGCATCTTCCGCCATTCAAACAAAGGCATTCTGTAAGTAAAAGACATCACTAATTATAGGCAAAACATATGAGTGCAGAGGTGAAATGTAATTAAAAACTAAGTTTTAGGGTGTTTCAGTATCATTAAGGGTCTTCTTGTATGAGTACAGGATAATAAGTTCCTTTTAGGTTCAAATAGAACAGGCAGATGCTTACCCTTGTGTTCTGATCTGCGTTTATATAGCTTGTAGTATTTCCAGCTATAAATCTATAGGAAAAGAAAAAAAAAGGATTTTTAAGGAGGCAGTTCCTTTTACGTGGTTTGATCATCCTTTCCCTACTGCATATCTTCAACAGTTTAGTTTTTTGCATGTAGCTACCTGCTGAATATGCTCTGTGAAATCTGGATATGAATGAGAAGTGGAGGTCTAATTAAGCAAAGCTGAATGAGGAAGGAAAACAAATCCCATGTCATGCAAAGAAAAGCCACAAAGAAAACCCCAAAAAAACCAGGATCAGAAAAACCCCACTGAACTGTGCCACTGCATCAGGTAATATTGCAATTATTTGTGCTGTAAGAACATAAGCAGCTCTTAATCATCACTGTCCCTAAAACAGGGAAGGAAAGTTCACCCTCTCCACCAAGCAGTGCAGCAAAGATGCAACATCCATCAATTGCCCCTATTGTTTTGGTGACTTTGGTACTTCACATTTGTGCCATAGAATGAAAGCCAAAAATTTTATTCAACAATGGATTGTTGTTCTGTCCTTCAAGGTTTTGCCTCTGCTTTGCAGGCTGGCTATACCTTTCTCCATTAAATAAGATTAGGTTTTTGAGATACTTAAAACTTACAGACTCTAGTCCCGTGACAAGTGTACCCAAGGTTACTGTGAGGAAGATGAGTAGCTTCATGTTGTTAGTTAACTTCTCCCTTTGTTCTTCTTCTATTGGTATTCTTTGATTCTGAAAATAAAAGAGGAATTTCATGTCATGCTGTAGCCTGCAGTGTCAGCTTTCTTGCTTCTGTTTCAGAATAAATTACAAGACAACTGATGAAGAATTAAGCTTTTACTTGCAGCAGGATAGCTGCTTGTTATTTCCATATATTAAATTAGAGGTTATACTTTGACGCTTTTTTTGTACAGGCAGCAATACAACCAGAATTTTTTAAGAGTGTAATTGAAGCAGGGAAAGAGAGATTGTAAAAAATCCATACTCCATTTTAGCAGTATGGACTAAAAGTTGGAAATTGGCAGATGCATTTAGCTGCTATCCAACTGTTTGTACCTATCTATCTGGCCATTGCCACCTTCAAGGAAAGCACTGAGCAGGCAGCTTCAGGGGGTGAAAGAGAAGGCTCCGTTTTTTAGTACCTCTGTAGTTATCAGCTGCATATTGAGGCTCAGCACTTAGGTAAACCTGGCCACCTGACCAAGTGCCTCTGACCACTGCCAACTCTTAAAAATCTGCTGGTGATGTTGCCTCACTTATTTTCAGTATTAGAGGTTTACAACATATTCTGTCTTGATTTCTTATATGCAGCTGGATCTTGTAGCCAAGCATGTATAGCAATCTTTCCAATGGCAAATAATTATCTTGTAAGAACAATGGGGGTACAATAAAGTCCCATATGTCTTTTTCTCTTCTTAAATTGCAATGCAAGTCATGGGATTATTTTTTTTTAAGCATTCTCACTTTTAGAAAACTGTACAACTTGATTTTTAAAAGATGACTCTCAGCTATATTTACATTAGCAAAAAAAGCAATGCAGTAGAAGAGGATGTATGGAACTGAGCTAGTGCTAAAGACCTGCTCCACACTGTACCTGCTTCAGAGTTCTACACTGGACTAATTCCAGTTTGGTCCTGCAGACTGAATGTCTGCTGATATGTGGATTGCACCTTCTAGTTTTACTTTATTTGGAAGAAATAGAGTGTAAGTACTCTATAGCTCATTACTGAACACTCCTAACACATGTTAAGTTCACATGCACAGTGGTGTAGACTAAAACATAGTGTATAGAGAAGATCAGTAGATTCATTTGGAAAATAGACACTACACAAATTAAAATGCTAATGCAGATGCAACCTTTGCTGGTAAGCAGGTATCATAATGCAAGAAAGCAAATCATACCTCAGGTACTTGGCTGTGTATGCTTTTCAGATTCAGATGAAATTTCAGCAGCTATAGTTCCCTTAAACATTATTATGACAATTATTTTTAGCATATTTGGCAGCAATGAAAGCAATTTACTCTTTGCTCCTATAGTTACTTTCTCAGGCCCAGCCTCCACAGCACAAACAGCAGTACTGCTGATTCCTTTAAAAATTCTGACAGACTGTGGCAACTAGAACTGACCTTCCCCGCAGCCGCGATACTACATCGCGGCAGCTTTTTTTTCCTTTTTGAATTTCAATGTAATTTTAAGAGCAATCGCTTCACCCCGATCTATTTAGACGCGGCACTGGCGCCTGAGCTGCCGACTGGGGTGAAGGACGCGGCACTTACCGGCGGCGGTGCGAGCTGGCGGAGCTGCAGCGGCGGCGGAGCTGCAGCGGGGCTGGCGCAGCGCGGCGCGGGCTCTATAAAGGCCGGCCCGGGGCGGGGCCGCCGCCGCTCGGCGCTCCGGCGCGCTGCTCACCGAGCGGCGCCGTGACTCAAGGAGGAAATTTTTTTATGCTGCTTTTTAGTTTCGGGGAAGGGGAGTACAGTCAGGGCGAGTACACAGCTTTGTTCGGGGTAAGATTTCTGGAAGGGGCTCCTTGGCTTCCCCGCGGCAGTCAGCAATTCATTAGGGACATTTATAAAAGCAAAAGAGAAACGTGAGTGAGAGCTATGAAAGGAATGACTAGAAACATGCCTGGAGACATGTCAGAGTGATAACAGTGGTAACATGTATGTATACATACATTAGCAATAAACACGGAATGATTATGAAACGTGCCTGGGAGCACAAGCAAATGTGGTGTATTTTATTCATATGGTGTTACCCATAATGAGAGAAACACAAATGATTTTTTAATTAACAGAGGATTAAACTCTTTCAGGTGTGGGTAAAACACAGCCCGCTGGGAGGGAGTATTGGGTCAAAATGTGCTCTTGAAACACTGGGTGTGTTTTCAGAGATCTGTCTGCAGCTGAAACACAGGACATCGAGGCGAATACGGCGCAGTTCTCATGCCAGCTGGAATCTGTTAGGACACAGATTAGGGGCTTACTGCGGGTGCTAAACTCATCTCCTCCAAATTATTTATGCTCCCTTGGCCCTGAGCAATCTTCTGCTCGTGAGAAAGTGGTCATGGTTTCCTTATAATTTCTGCCTCCCAAAGAAGTATTCAAAGCGTTCATTTCATGAGATGAGGATGGAGATTTGAAATGATAGATGTCTAAGAATGCAGAACCAGCACAATAGCTAGTCTTTCCTGGCCCAGTTAAATGTGATTTTGTTCATATTATGCTGCAATGTTATAGCAATGCAGTGAATAACAGCAAACCAGTACATAATATTTGTGAGTGTATTCATAGGGTTTAGCTTCAGGTAGTGAGGGTGACTAAGGTGAGGTAGGTCTCCAGAGGCTGTGTAGCTGAGGAAAAGCAGTTTCTTTAGAGGTCAGGTCAGAGAAGTAGTTGACCTGTAGAGAAATGTTTTCATAATTTGACAATGCAGATCTTAAGGAGACTACCTTTCTCTGTTTGCCGTGTAACAACTGGTGTGAATCTTCTTCCCTCCCCATTTTCTATCTATGGTATAACCATACCTTTTTTAAGGTCCTGTCTTGTTACATTCTCTGTTCCTTTCTGTTCAGATCTTCAGGCTCACATCAGAAGAGATCTCATGTCTGCAGAAAGCACACAGAGTTCACTGAATGGCAGGAACTGAGTCAAGAGAAACAGCTCAAGCTAGAAGTCCATAACTGAACATAGGTAAGGAATGAGCTTTTCTGAATTTCAGGAGAGAAACTTGTCTCACATTCTGTGGTGACTTAATAGATCAACATCACAACTAATTCGACCCTTTAAGAAACAGTGCATAAAGGATAAGAGCAGAATCCCCATGGCACTCTTTATTTCAGAGGAGTGGCCATCAACTAAATTTATCCTAAGGAATTAATTCTGCAGAGGGGAAATAATCCAGATTTTAAAAGCAGTCTTTAACATTTACTCAATTAATTTTAATACACCAACCTTACACATAATAAATTAAGAAATAGGTCATAGTTTGATTCAGCAGGGAGAGCAGGGAAAAGCCTGGATGCAGGAAGAAGAAGGGCTCCCCAGGCTTGGGCAGCACCTCTCCTTCCTCCTCCATGCTCCCAAGGAAGACTCTCTAGGCCTTCCTCAGACTCTCCTTCTGGGAAAAAAACCTAGAGCAACTGTGTTTCCTCCTTGATATTTTTGTTTCCTGAGAAGTGTGATCAGTTATCCTCTCCCTGAACCTTTGACCAAGCTGTGCAGATGTCCCCTGTTCCTAATTTTCTCCCTAAAACCTGCAGGTTCATACTTGTTTTCCAGATGCCAGAACCAAAAACTTTTGTTGTCTTCATTCTAACACAAGATACAGCAAAATTCAAATCTCACTTCTTCTGCTATCTGTCATATATTGGGTTTTACTGAAATGCACTTCTTAAGTATATCTAGAAGGCCCCTCTAGAAGGAGAAGTGACTTGGGCTGTGGTGTCACTGTCTTTCAAGCAGACTGGTGACAGCTATGGATCAGAAATTCTGATGTGTTTGTAGTGCTGCTTTAAAGCTCTCAAATTCCTTTGGTCTAAATATTTGTATGACCTAGATAGGTAAATGAGTTATAGTTGGCACTGGACTGCACTGAACTGAAAATGTGGTTTAGTAGAAAGATATTCAAGCTGGCTGCAAATAAGTTTGTTTTGGTGTTCCAAGTAACCTCACAGCTGCATTACATTATCTCTGTGAGCATTTAAATGACACCTAGGGAAGCAGGGATGCATGAGATAATTTCCAGTGCCTAGCTTCACTGAGCTGGCTGATGGCTGGCACAACAAGAGCTGAAATGAAGTTTCAGGTAAAATAAATCCTTGGAACCTTGTCATGTGCTCTGCCTTAAGGCAGAGACCTTGGAAAATCTGTAGCATGGCACTTCTGCCATGTCCTCTCTCTGACCTCAAAGCTGGATCTGCCAGCACAAATGGGAAATGCACATGCTCAGGGAGTGGGAGGGATGAAACAGGACCGGTTCTGCTACCAAGGGATTTTTGGTAGCTTCAGGGTCAGCATTTATTCCTTATTGCATGTCTCAAGAATTTAGAAGGGCCTGGTTACAGGCCATGTCTTCTGTCCAGGACAAGACTGTGATAGGACAGAGGAAAAGCAGGTCTTTATAACTCAAAAGCATAGTTGTTTGGGAAGAATAGTGAATACAGTTAAATGCCTACTGCAAGACTATCAGTGCAAGTGGAACTTACTTGCTCAGTCGATATTGATTATGAGAAGTCATGAGACTTGAAACACTTGTACAGACTCGTGAACAAGTTTTGTATTTTGAGAGCCACATTGTCCTTTCCACAGTTAATTTCCTTTTCCTTTTACATGTCCGTGGTTTCATCACTTTGGTCTTTTACCAAAATTAGGCAGAGGTGTAGGCGGGATGGAAGGAGGAAAGACTTCTGAAGAAAAAGAGGTGGTAAAGGAAGTGTTAGAGTGACCTTGTAGAAGGTACTTTACCTGCTTAGTAGGAATACAGCAACTACATGAGAAAAAATTACTCACAAAATCTCAAGCCATTTGCTCATTTTTGTAGTCAGGGCTGTTAATAATAGGGCTTTATTTGCACCTGGATTATATCACAGAGTAAAGAAAATGTATATACCTATTATGAGCTCCTAATGTGATTTGAGTCTGCAGTTATATAGCACTTCTCTAAAATAGAAGTCAGATGCAGTGGATCTAACCCTGAAGAGCAAGTAGTATCAGACCCACAGCCAGGCAGTTCTCGGGTTACTGTGATGTTGTGTTTTAGTTTTCAGTTTCAAATAAAAATTTTGCTGATTCTTTTAATTTATTGTTGAAGTAACTTGAATGTTTCAGACTAATCAGCCAGCCTGACTTAGCAAATTTAGGAAAGATAACATTCCATTCCACCTAGATGAGAACACTGACCCTCAGAGAAATACAGAGGTTTTATCTCATGGTGGTGTACTGAAAGAGATTGTGAGGTTTGCATTGTTCTGCAGAAGTTGCTGGGGTGGAGGTATTATTGGTTACAGTGTTCATTTTCACAGCTGATGATAAAATATTAAAACTCAAGAGAAATACCATCTAGCATGCATTGACTCTTGTGGTCTGTCAGTAAACCCCAAAAAGCTAGAACTTTCAGGGAATTAAATAACCCTATAAATATTAGTAGCAAGAACTGCTACAGACGTGCTGTTCAACAAGGAAAATTTAGGCCTGAGGCTTTATATTGCCTGAAGTCTTGTGGTCATGTAGTGCATGTTCTGGTTTATATCCAATATAAGTAACGTCAGAATTAGTCCTTTGACTAGTAAAACGTGTGCTTTGCCAACGTGAATTTCAAGTCCTCTCTACTCATGGTACATTATGAATGGAAAAGTTTAAATTTGCATAAAAGCAGTTATGTGTGCTTAAACCTCTGTCATCTCAAATGAAAGAGCAGGGTTAAACCACACAGTGAGTATTTGCTCAGTGATTAAGAATACAAAAGTTAAGAAAACACCTAGAAGTCATGCCAAAAGATTGACGTGACTTGTCACCTCTATAACAATAATAGCTTGTTGTTGTCAGTTTTGTTAAAGAAATTAGTTTGTCATTGAATCAAGTAGCCTCATCTATGGGTATAGAATTTAAAGAACATATCTATATTTACCATTGCTTTGCGTATTGGAGTGTAGCTTCAAACTCAAACTGTGTTTGGTTACAGTCACTTTGGAATTAGGTTAGAAAGGATTTTAAGTCAGTCAGAAAGTGTGCTACAAGTTTAAGGGAAATTTTCCAGTATAAAGTTGATTTAGATTATTTTGTCTTCATCTTGAAAAATGTGGGTACTTTTACAGTAAAACATTTTGTATTCTCTCTCTGATGTTATCCAAGTTAAATTTTTTAATCAGTTTACTTCCAACTCTTGAGATAATAACTGGAATTACTGAATAAACCATTAGATTTTGAAATGTAAACAAATAGATTTCAAATGTTACATTATCACTATTCATAGAGTTAAAAATATTAAGCTCACTCTTTAATCTTATTTTCTTAAATTACTGTTTGTATGAGTCCCAGGAATTTCCAGAGTAGCTGATTTTAAGTTGAATGTGATTCATAAAAATTCTTGTACTTTAATGACTCTTGATTACTTGTCAGTTGTTTGTGGTTGGAATCTGAAGCAAGTGGTGATATCATTTCCTTTAGGTACAATTCAGCTACTCAGGTTTCTTTATTTAATTTTTCTTTCCTTTTCCTTGCTGCCTACTGCTTTCCTCTTATCTCTGTTATCTGTGTGCACAGAAGTGGCAGAGCATTCTCACTTGAGAGCCACTGGGCTCTCTCGCATGCCTGTGGGCACTGCTTGTGGCTTTGCAGGCATCGAGGGCCAGGCTTTATCTCTGAGCTGAGGCAGTGTCACCTTGAGCACTTGTGAAATCCCTGCCACCGGCCTCCTGCGCTCATGCGTGGGGAGCAGCTGCCACGAGAGCGTTCTTCTGCTTGTATACAATGATCTGTTGTTTCTGTGAGCTGTCCGGATACGGATATTTTTCAGAACAGCAATGATCACATCTAAGGGTTTCTTCATCAGCTTGATGTGCACCTGCTTTTAAACTATGCTTTGTATCTCATTTAGCATTTATGAAAATTCATTTATTATGAAAATCAGCAATCACTTTGACATTTGATCAAATTACTCATTTGAGACAGCTAATATCTGCAATTTAAAGATTAGTTGAGCTACAGATCTTGCATCCAGATCATAAATAAATGTTTGTGTATAAGTCTAGGCCTGTTTTAGTTGAAATCAAAATGCTGATAGCACTGGGGGAAAGACAAAAAAGATTTCTGAGTCTGAAAGTAGAAGGCAGAAAACAAACAAGGATTTTTAGGGATTCAGTTGTGCTACATTTGGTGATCTTAAATCCTGAAGTAGAATATTTTTCAAAGGAATCCTTTTTCTACCCTACCATTTACTGGTCTGGAATAGCACATTGAAATCCAACATTGGAGATTTACAGAAACAGCTGATTTTGGACTATTATTTCTGAAGTGCGTCAGTCAATCGGATGCACATTCCACAGGAAACCAAACAAACTGAAAGCATGCCAGTTAGCATATTTCTGGAGAAAAAAGATTTGCTAAAATCTTGGAAGAAAGCAGATTCTGGGGATTGACCTCTGCAAGCTGTGTCCTAGTGATGGTGTATCCAAGGAAGGAGCATACTCTAAATCCCCTGTGCAATACAGCCCCAGAGAGAAAACTGGCACTGTTCATCTCTGTGAAAGGCTGCCTGGGAAGATCATTTAGGATTCCACTCCCTCTAAAGCATTAATTATCTAAATAAATACAAGATACAGGAAAAATTACTCTTATGTCTTGACATTAATGACATTAGTAATGGACTGTTCTGAAGAAGCTCTGGAGGCAAAATGGCAGCTCTGTGAATTTATAGTTGAAGGAAAAGGTTACTAAATGCAGAAAAATTGTAGAGAGCCCATAAAACAGTACTGCCTGGTGTGTCAGGCAGTCTCAATGGACTTACAAGTGAGGAGCTGTTGAACAATTCAGAGGATAAAGAGTTTTAAGGAGAAAAAAAAAGTTGCTTCCTGGGTGCTGTTGAATAACTGCATTCTTCTGCATAAACTTATAAAGAAACTGCTGAGAAGAAAGGAGAAACAGAATTAACTTGGGTACTCTTGGGTAATAATTGTGTGCATATCGGGTGCTCT